CTCTTTCTGTCCCGCAACACTCTGGGGATCTGCCACTTCCAAGCAATTAATCAAGTCTGGTCCACATGCAAGCTAAGGCAAACTGCGCTGGGCCACACGCAGTTGTATAAGTGGCAAAATGTATGTCAGCGCGCAGAAAATGGAGGCAGTGCACTTTTGAACCAAAACACCTCTGATGTGTTTTAGTGTAAAAGTGTGCCGCTGCCGCCACTTTCTCAGCACTGACGCACATTTTGCTGCTTATACAACTGCAAGCGTCCTAGTACTTGCTGCGGCACTTGCCTGTGTAAAATATGGCCCAAGTTTATATCTACCTTAATACTGTAGATGCAGAAGTGCAAATTCATGTTACATTTTTGTCATGACACAAAACACTACTTCTGGTTAACATAAACATGTGAGTTTTTGTTTTGTATTTTAGTGAACTGAAGATGAAAACGAAATTGACATCTAATTTGGAATGTAACTTGGCAGCTCCTGAATCTATTTTGAAATCTGAAACTTACACTACCTCTCCAAGTCCATCTCTTGTTCATTCACTAGGGGTCCTGCCTCTGAGCCACAATTCAATGTCTCCAGTAATGCTACCTCATCCCCATGCTGGTGTTTCATATACAATATATCTCCATCCTTCTCAAACCCAAACTGCAACTACATATAGCCCAAGTTTTGTGTTACAGTCAGTACCCTGTACTAATGTGACTGGAGTTAAAACTGCTTTGGAAGTTAACTCAAAAGTACCATTTAGTAAAATGACCACTGAGGAAGGGGATGGTAATGTAGTTAAAAATGACACAAACTTCTTAAATGCAAAAGAGAAAAAAGTTACAAAAATTGAATCTACACCACGGAGCTTTCTTAAAAGATCACAAGCATTACAGGAAAACAATTTAATTAAAAAATGCAAACATGGTCAGAAGAGTCTTGGTGTTCCTATGGTAAGTAACATTAGAAATGTATAATTCTTATTTTGTACAAATATGCTATTACTTTTAAATTGTGTTTGGGATCCTACTGAAAGCCATTAAGTTTGTAAATTGTCCTGAGAACTCTTAGTCTTAATGCCTTAGTGCAATCAAGTTTGAAAGAACATAACGTGAGTGCATCACCAGCAAGATTTTTCATGCCACTTTGTAGAATGGTAGCGTCTATTCTTGTAGCATGAAAAAAGGTTTTGGGGGCAGGAAGACTTGGATGGAAAAAATTACATTGAACTATAAGGCACAACTGAAAACTCTCTCTCATACAAATGTTTAGTGTTTTCAAATATTGTTTAAGGTACGATTCCTTCTTTTACTTTAGCTTCCTTTTATTTTTAGGGTGAGCATTCACTAGTCCTTACTGTTGGTTTGCCTGGTGCTTGGTAGACATTTGGATGTGATTATATAGATCTGTCGGTCAGGCCGTATCCTTGAAAAGGCCATCCTTGAATCACTGTTTCACATTTATTTGTTTGTTTATTTACTTGTTCATTTGCTTTTTTAAAAATACTTGGATTCAGAGAAAACATCCAGAAGTGCTTACCAAGGCATAAAAATGGAAACCAAAACATAAGCTTGGTAACACTGGGGATATTGGTACAGTTTTTCTGGGGAAGTTTTGAGAACTTGGTATCTTGTGCGATCTTTAACAGTCAGTGTTGGCTTTTAAAGGCTCATAAGAAAGTACAGCTGGAAGGGACTTCATGTAGTTTAGCCCCCTACTCAAGATGGGAACATCCCTGGCTAAACTGTTCCTTCCAGCCAAGTGTCTGTCTAATCTGTTCTTGAAAACTTCCAGGAATCGAGTTTCTAAAATATCTCCTAGGCAGCCAGTTCCAAAGCTTGACCTCCTTCTCCCCCACCCCCTGCAAGTTATAAACAGGGCTGTCCCTAGGAGAGGGGGCGACTGCCTCAGGCCCCACGGAGCGGCGCAGCGACTCACCACTGCCACCGGCTTCATGTCCAGCCACTGCCCCCCCGCCACTGAATCAGCACATCTGTCCACTCGCCATCCCCCCACCCCTCCCTGCCGCCGAATCTGCTGCTGGCTTCCTTATGTCTGGGGGCGGGGCTCTGCCCTTGCTGATTTGCCCTGGACCCTGCACACTACCTTTTTTATGACCAGAGACAATTCGAGCAGTCTTTCTAAAGTTCTCAGAGAGAAGGTAGACTTATAAAATTGAAGCATATGATAAGGTCCAGAATCTCAAAATGTTTCAAGGATTTGTATCTTAATGGTAGTGGATGTTTATCTTAGTGGCCAATGCAGTATTACAAGGCCTACAGCAATACAAAATATTGGACCGAGGAGAAGCTGAAACTTGTTGAGCCATATTCATAGGTGTTCTTGAACTATATTTAGTGTGTACCTGAGAAAATGAGGTAGGGCATGGCTTTCTACCCCTTCTACCTTGCTCTTGAGGACATGTTTATTACCTGGGTCTCCTGGTGCAAATTAGCAAATACAAATAACCAGTGTAGAAAGCAAATGCATTTTTCATGATGTGTACACAGTAGGCTTGTAATTAAGAAAGCATATTATAATACACATACTAAAACAAGCAAAATATTTCAGGGAGAGTCTGTCAAGAATGAAAGACCATCTTCTAGAGCTTTGCATGTAGATACTGAAGTCGTCAGTTTTCAAGAAAGAGGACAGATCAAATTTGAAAAACTAGACCAAAATATGGAATGTTGTTGTGACAAAGAAAGGAGAGAAGGTTTTCCAGAAGATCGAAGCAAAACCAGTAATACACAAGAGAGACCTGTCCCATTTGCTGTTCATGCTCATGAGGTATACTTCCCACCGAAGACCAGCAATTTCTAGCTGCTTGGATTTCCAGGACTTTTTCTCTAAAGATCTTGTACACAAGATCTCTGGGATGCTAAGTACTATGCTTGCTTTTCATCTGCTATCATGCAAAATTCATTTCTCCACAGTAAGATCCCTTACTAATGAAAATCAGGACTGGAGAAGGGAGAAGTGAGCAAAAAAAAAAAAAAAAAATTTACTTTGTATCAAACCTTTTAATAGCAAAAGTTTGAGCTGAGTTGAGAACAGTATGACAAAATGCCATCAGTTGAGTTGAGACTTAAAGGATTTGATTAAAAAGTTATGTTTTAGACTTGCCTTTTAAGCATGTCTGGCTTAAGTTATATTGCTTGAATTCAGGTTGGATTCCCAATTTCAGTGTGTTTGGTTCAGAGTCAATAGAATGCAGCACACTTGACTCAGGGAAGGGAGGGTACTGAATTACACTTGATTAGCCGTTAATTGCTACTGTGATGGTTGAAGGAGTCTTGTTCAAGCCTCTGGTAGGATGTCAGTGTGTGGATGCAGTGTAAGACCTGGTAGATGAAAGGGTGAGAAATTAGAATCAATTTCTCCAGAATGTCACCTCAATAGAAGAATATCAAAAACTTTTTTTTTTTTTAATTTAGTCTGCAAGAAAAATTATCCTTTCTTTTTCAGGCTTTGTTTCCATCGGGGTATCTCATTCCTATTGCTCGGTGCACCCAACATAGCAACGAGACAATGTTTTCTAATAAGGAAAAAGCTGGAATATGTTCATTACAACCGGCAACCTACAGTTCACCTATTACTGGTATGTATTTGTACAGCCCTTACCACTTCATGTGAAGTTAGTTGCCTTTAAGCATTGTAGGCCAAACCTGCTGAAGTTATTCAACATTCAGGGTTAGACTTTAATACTATAAGAGGCTTAAGTTTTTAAAGGTTTTTTTTTTTTCCTTTACCTCCCATGTTTTCCCTAATAGGTGTCATTCCAGTGACAGCATCTGAGCTCACGGCAGTTAATATTCCTGCTTTCCACGTAACGCCCATGAATATAATGGTATCACCATCTTCTATAGCTGCTGCACCTGTAGTAAACAGTTCGTGTCTTAATTCAGGCCATACACATTCTGTCCAAAATCCAAGTTCTTCCATTCTGAACTTTACACTACAACACTTAGGATTGATACCTGCTGGTGTGCAGGTTTCTGGAAATCCTGTTCTTCAGTCTCTGCCAATCTCTCCGAAAGCAGAACATGTTAATACAGTCTCAGAAAATGTGAACTTGCAACAAGGAAAAGTGGTTAAAAATGAATCTCAGATTCTTGATTGTGAGCTGAATGGAAAATCAGTTGCAGTAATTCCTTTACAGCAGGTATGAGAACTATTAAATACAGTTTTTTTTTTCCATTTTATGTTAAGTTTTAGATACTTATGGTACAGTAGTACCTCAGAAGATTGGACTTAAATGGCAAAGCTGGTATGATTGCTAGTGTAGAGGTGGAGGTTAACTTGATACCTGAAGTGGGGCTGTACTTCTAAGCAAAAAGAGACAAGTAATTCATATTTGTAGAGAGAGCGGAGGCAGTCAGTAATGCCAAGGTGGGATGAAAGGCTAACTGCAGAGATGCTTTGAATGGGCTGCAGAAGGCAAGATGGCACTTGACATGGACAGAAGAAGGAAGTTGTCTAGTTAAACTTTAGTTTTCATCCCCATTAAATTCTTAATTTCCCTCATTGTATATTTAATGTTAACTTTCAAATTCTGGTTCTGTATGCAGCAATCCACGGAGTATGACAATATACGTAGCTTGAGTGAAGAATTAAGCTGTGTATTTTTTGCCTCTAAATTCTGTTACCTAAAGGACACTTGGTTGTATAAACAATACAGACTGAAAGGACAAAATGATAATCTTACAAGTGTACTCTTTTCCAGTTCTATAGATTAGTCATATTCCATAGTTTTTAATCAATTCTTATTGGTAGTTTTGTTTGTTTTTTTTCTGCTTATTTCCAATGACAATAACTTTGTTTTTCCTTTCAAGCAGCCTAGTGTTCCAGCAAAACCTAAGGAGTCACAAGTAGTGACTGAAAATTTCTTCCGCACTCCAGGAGGACCAAACACAATTGCTAGTTTATCTTCATTTCCTGAAAATTCAGATAGAGCTTTTCAAAGAACCTTGACAATTCCACAAAGAAAACTTGAAGTGTCAGATGACTAACTTTTGAATGGATATCAAGCCATTGGACCAGGTTAACATGGATATAATTTATAGTATAACACTCTGATGACATCTTGGTATTGTAATTTGGAAGGTGTGTGCCTGGAAAATTAATTGTAAATGTATTGGAAAATCCAGAATACTAGAATAGCCTTATTTATTAAAAGTTTAGGATTAAAACAGCTCTTACTATAAGTAAGTTTTTAAAATGTCCATTAATTTCTCCAAAAGGCTTACCTAAAGTATTAAAAAGTTATGCACTCTGTCTTATTCTGTATAACAGTACAAAATAAAGTAATCTGTAAGTCCATAATGCTCTATACAGAATTTGGCTAAATATACACAGGTACAGTATATCAGTACATTTTGCACAATGGAAGTACTGGGATTAATATACGGTCTCTTAATAGAATGGCTGTAGTTTAAAATTTGTTTCTCTTATTCCTTTGTTCTTTCAATAATGCTCTTGTAAAGTTAGTAAAAAAATTTAATCAAGTCTATGTAAATTAAGATTTATTTATAATGTATTTTTAATCAATTTGTTCAAATTAAACTTTAAGTCAAAAGTTTCCAATTTTGATAAGGTATTGTTTAATCAAATGAAATTACCATAGTGAGTTGCACAGTGTACTTCCATTAAAACCTTGTTTATAACCTATGTGTGATAAGAACTTCACTATTAATTCCTATTATACAAAGAAGAAAACAGTATCTTACTCTGCTAGGTATGTCTTAGGAAGATGAATAGAAGAAAGCTTTCCAGAATTATCCTCCTAGTTGCATCTGCATGCATCTGAGTGTAAATGATGGTGCTCCACAGGTTTGTTTGTTTGTTTGTTTGTTTTAATTCAAAGCAACTAGAACTCAGAAAAAAACTAGGGACAGAACTGCTGCAGAGTTCTGCATGGTTTACAGAATACAGAAGCTTAAGGAAAACATGAGGTTACTACAGCTGGGCCTGAAATTGAACACCACATTGGAAGCCTACCTTCCTTCTCTTCCTGAATTTTGGAGATTTCTTTTTGTGGTCTAAAAGAAAACAGGAGACCAAGAAACTACTTTTTTCCCCTAGACCCAAACTACAGCATGATGGGTCATTCTACAGATCCCATTGTGGCCTATAAATAGATGTAGGTTCTCTTGGTGCTATGAAGGTTTGAAAACCTTACCAGAACCTTCACAGAGGTACCACACTGCCCTGATTTGTCTTATCACTAAAATAGAAGCAAATAAAGTGGAAATTATTTGGCTAACCTTGCCTGCTGGGCAAACTAGTCATACAGCTGAATGTGTTGGCTAAAGGAGCCCTCGCTGAAACCCAGTTACCAATTCAAAAGTTATATGCCTCATGTGTTGCACTTCTGTCAACCTGCCAGTTTTTTTTGGGG